TCCTGAGATAACTTCTGTTATTGGAATGGAAAAAGGATCTGACTGTCACCTGAAGGGAAATAGGGACATAAAAAGGGAAATACCGTTCTGATTTGATTGTCCAATTATACAATTAGCATCTAATGCATCCTATTAATTATGTATAAGGAATATTTAACTCAGGAGACAGAATTTTTTTAAATAATACAAATATGAAATGTGTTTCAAAAAATCACTTTATTCATTATGAGTCAACTATGAATAATGAATTAACTAATGTTTTTTTTGTTGAAAAAGAAGACTATTTATTTTTTACAATTAGACTGTAAAAGCTGATGAGTTAGTTGAACTCACAACTGTCTGAGGAAACGGATTGCCTTAAACCGTTTAAGTTTATTAAACGTATAAAAGATATTTGATTTAAATAAATGAAGTCCATTTCTACCAATTTCATTCAATTCATTTTAAGTTACACTCATGCAGAATTTTTTAATGGTAGCCATTTTTTTCTTTATGTGACTAATCATCCTATTATTTGGATTCATACTTATACATACTTATAATGATTAATAAACTAAAATAAAAACAAAAAATGAAAAATCCTAAGCAATACAGCATTATAATCCTTATTATTTTATAATGATATAAGATTACTTCAAGAAAATAAGTTAATGGAACAAACTGGAATTATATCACCTGTTCTTAAAATACTGCACACATTTAAGTTACTTCAAACATTTTTTGGGAAGAATAAAGTATTTTAATACATATATTCTTCTTTAGTGGCTAAGGATTTGAAGGGCATTTAAAGTGGAAATACACCATGACAGTATTTTTGAAAATACGTTTGGAACAGAGTTTGGAACAGGATTTATAGCTAACGCTCGGGAGAGATCATGGTTCGGGGAATAAAAACATGAAGTCCATTTTCTACCACACAATACTTCCTGCAGTGGAAGTCATTTGCTGTGTTGTCCACAGGCGAACACAAATTGTTGAATCTAAAAGTGCATTCAAATTAAACCGTTTACACATCAGGGCTTTGACTCATCGGCTGTGAGGGGGCAGCAGGCTTTTGAGCATTAAGGGCGACTATAGATAAAAACTGCTGCTGCAGGCTGTGGCTATGCTCGACTCAATTTGTAGTTTTGGTCAGAGATTCACTTGTTTTCAGTGCTACTGCTACAGTTGAGAGGAGGTTGGGTAAGGTGAGTGGGGACCCCAATCCGTGCTGTATATAAGCCCTAACTGAGGAAAATTCACAAATATAGAAAATGTGTTAGATCCTGTGGGTTGCCATGAAGAATAATGCAGTGTTTTCCAAAAATCAACACTCTTCTTTAGGTCATGAGGGACATTTCTGTGCTCTGCTGCCCCTTACACCATCACATGACCAGGCTGTCATGGATCAGTGCTCTCTGAAACAAGAGATGGTAAAAATGCCTCTCGGGAAAGGCTTCTGTGTATGCAAGTGTGTGTGTGTGGATGTGGTCTCCAAAGAGCCTTGAGCTCCATAACACAAACTGACACAGTATTAAAATAAGTTTGAAAGGAAAATGTAAGTGGAGTGGTACTTCAGAGTTGATAACCTACTTGCAGATCTCTACGACCTGGAACTTTTGGGCGTGTTGTACTATCGGCTACACCATACGTTACTGAAAGTACTATCATAACAAGATACTCAAAATGTTATATCGTCATTGTTGTTGTAGTATCTTTAAAAAAACAATTCAACATGTTACTGCTGATGCTGTCTAAAGACCTTAAAGGTTCCCTGGTAGGTTGAAATCTGCAGTGTTTTGCCTTTTGACTCAAGTAGGTGTTTACTTTGTGCTTATGTATGAAATGTCATTTGTTCCTAATGCTCCTGTGTACTGATGAATACCTGATATTACATTGCAGCACTTACTACCAACTTAAAATATTATATATTATATTATAATATATTTGATATATTATATATATCAAATATTGCCACTTGCGTGTGTCTCCTCTCTGCTCTGA